GACACTTTCAAACAGCATGTGGATGCTTTCTTTCAGGTCAGTTTGTGATGGTACATCTTGAAAATGTTCTGTACAACAAGATGATGTTGTTGTCTGTTTTCATTGCATTATAAATCACTTCTTTGCAGAAAATGGACAAGAACAGAGATGGAGTCGTCACTCTTGATGAGTTTATTCTCTCCTGTCAAGAGGTATACAGTACCTGTTCATGTTCAAAATGGCATACTATGCATACTATTTTTGTAGTATGTATATAGTGCACAGAGTGCAAATTTAGTATGCATGGAGTAACCAAATGACCTAATACATTAAAAAAATGTGCAGTATACAAGCATACTAGTCACACTGTTTTTGCAATATGAATGCAGTATGCAAGGAATAACCGGATGAGCGACAGCATTTGCTAAAATGTGCCGTATTCATGCATACTTTGCACTGTATACATACTGCAAAAACAGTATTTAAAGTATGCTTGTATACTGCACATTTTTGCAAATGTAGTAGGTTATCTGGTTATTCCATGCATAAAAATTTGCATACTGTGCACTGTATACATACTGCAAAAAATACTATGCACAGTATACAAACTTGGTGTGCATGGAATTTCTGATCTGATTATTAAAAGGTGAACATAATTTTAATATCTTTTAAAATGCTTAATGTATAACATAAAAGCATTCATTTCTAAGATTATAATTGGACACCACTCACTGAATTAAACATAAGTGAGTTTGTGACGATGTAACATGTTTAAAACATTTCTCAGCATACTGCTTCACATACTATTTCTTTAAAACGTAAACAGTATATACTGTGCAGTATGCAGTACACTAGTATTCCGTTCCATTGGGAGCCTGTCACTTTCTTCCTCTCTTAAATGTAAGCAGTGCCCTCTGGTGTCAGAGAGTGAGTACTGCACTAGTTAAATCAGTCCTGTCCACTGACAGCCATGCAAAAATGTATATCTTTATTTATTTATTAAATAAGAAATCATACCATCCACCCCTATTTGAATTGGTTATCATTTTTTTTTTTTTTTTTCAATTTTTATTTGATCAGTTAGGTCATTCCAGACTAACGTTTTGTTAAAAAGTAGTGGATTGTGATGGATTGTGATGGTTTTAATAGTGTTATTTTAGTATAATTTATATAATATTATAGTTTTTATTAATATTTTGAATTTGATTTTATTTTCTGATTTTCTTTAAACTAAATCAAAATGAGAAATGTTGAGAAAATAGCTGAAATAAAATAAGTTTACTTTTTATAGTCTGTTTCAGTTATTTTTTTTAGTTATGTGTAATAACCCTGTTTTTAACTCCTTTAGAACTCTTTACTTTTGATTCTAATGAAAAAAAAAATTTAATGAAGTGAGGCCAGATGGCGCTAAATTCTAAACAAACAATTTTAGTTTTATTTTTTATTTTTTTTACATTTTTAATCTTTCCAAAATAACTAGTTTTATTATTTGGTTATTTTGGTTCAGCATTACTTTTTAATTTTCATTCTTTGCAGCACAACACCAGCAGCTGAAATGTAAATGGTTATTTTACATGTCATTCATAAGCTGCTTCTTGTCTAATCAGGTGGTTATTTTTTACTAGAACACACCGATAGTATAAAGACAGACTTGCTCTTTTTTCATCTTTATAATAGTTTTTAAGTATAATTAGCTTGTTTGTGTTCCTTCCTCTCAGTCTCTTCCTCCTTTCTTTAACCGTGACTCATTGAATTTCTCTTTCTTCTCTTCACATTTCTTCTCTTCAGGATGAAAACATCATGAGTTCATTGCAGCTCTTTGAGAATGTGATATAGAGCCACAGGAAGAAAGAAAACAATGAACTGTTGAATCTGATCAAAAAAGGAGGAATAACTTTTACCCCAATCACCATGGTTACAGTTTGACATCACCTTGTTACCATGGCAATATGCCGACTGTTTGATTTACGTGCCGGGAAAGCGGTGTGTCCTTTAAATCCTGGTGTTTGACCTCGTTATGTTGCAGATGTGAGACTTGCACACTAATACCTAAAAAAAATGGAACTAGTTAAAAGAGCATGTCAGTAATTGTGTGTCAAAGGCCCAGTGGGTTTCCTAGAGGTCCTGTAGAAGCCAGCTGAGCTCTTTCCATGGGACTGAATTTACTGTGAAGGATTTGAAAATATGTCACTGATATCTGATGCATTTTAACCTGTTTATGGTGGATTTTAGGTACGTGTTTGCTGAACCGATACACTCGACCTGTGAGAGTTCTCCAGCTAATGTGCAACAGATATTCAGCACATCTTATGCTAAGACCATTTTTATGTGTCCATCATTTAGGTAGGAATGCTAATCCAGTAGTATAACCAGTGGTTTTCTCATGAACCGACCAATCAGCAGTCATTTAACCGGCTTTGCAGAAGTTGCTTGTCGGCTGTGAAGTGACAGTGTTGCGCTGTTTGTTTTTGACAGTATTTGTCATGTGCTTGTGCATCTCCTCATCCTGACCATCACTGCTTGCTGTTCGTGTCCATTATTAGCGATAGTCTGCATTCATATAGGCTGAGCGTGTGTAAGGCTGGGCACGGGGACTTGGGGCAAGAATGCCACTAAATTGGACAAAAATGCCCCTGCACAAACAAATTAAATCTATTACGTCTGTTGCTAACAAAGTGAATATGAATAGACAGTGTCGATTGTGGCATTAAATTAAGATCTGCTCATGTTGCACCGTATTTCATTTTAGGCGTTTTTACAGTGTTGCGCATTTTAACCAATCACACCCAATTCTGTTGAGCTTATGAATGCAGTGGCCAATCAGAGGCGTTCAGATAAGTCATTGCTGAAACTCATCAGTTTTGTTGAGTGCGCGAGCGTTCGCTGACTGAATTCCGGACCCTTGCGAATTCTCTCATCATAAACAACAAAGCGCAGATGGACGTACAATGTAAGAAATTTCACAGTGTATACAGCTTCAGTGATTATAAGGATAGTTGTGTTTTTTGAGAGTGCTTAAACTGGGGATAGATCAATGTTAGTGATAATGTCACTTTCTATATATAATCTATTCGCTGTTTTGAATAACCATGGAAAGGAAACGTTATATAATTATCAATTTCTAACGTTTTTATTAAATTGTAATCACGTTAAATACAAATTCAGTCCCATTAAACATTTTTTTTAGCCTACTTGACACCCATGTCTGGTTCTTTCCTAAAAATACGGGTTTATGATGTGTAATAGGCCTACATTTGGCTGCGTTTAGCCGTACCATGGAGTTGGTTCACCCTCCGCCTATGCACTCGTCTCTTGTTGGCTTGTGATTGCTCTTAGCTCCGCCTACTCAAAACATCTGCTTTCTGATTGGTCTGTTTGTTTGTCTGTCTGTCTGTCAGCGTCATCGGGAGAAGATCTGACATCAGGTCACATTTCCAGTATTCTCAATATGTGGTTCTCATTAATGAAGTACAGTGATTTTATTTAAATATGCATAAATTAAAGGTAGCAGATGTCTTATTTCTTATGATTTTGGGCCGACGTGACACATTGGCTTCTGTGCAGATGGCAGCTCTGCATGTGAAAATGGACTTTGATTGACAGGTGCCGTAGCAAACTTTAGCAGTCACTATATTTGTCTTTGTTTGTATGTTGAACTAATATAAAACCATTTTTTTATTGTGTGAAAGCTGTGAATTGCCTAAATTAGTACTGTTTTATGCAGCCATAATGCCACCTTACTGTGACATAATTTAAGAGAGCAAAAAAATATAATGAAATGAATTAAAAGACAGCAAAAACAAAAGATTTATGGAACAGTTTGATTTGTCTCGACAAGGGCAACTCAACATGAATGACATTCACAATTCAATTGCTTCGTAATCTAATATATATCTGAGTGAAAATAAATATTAGCTGTGGCCTAATGGTTGGAGAGCTGGACTTGTAACCCAAAGGTCACAGGTTCAATTCTCAACATTGGATGAGATTAAAAAAATAGAGAATATATATATATATATATATATATATAATAAATAATTGAAATCTCCTAATAATGTGAACAAATACTTTTGTGCCAGGAAACATAAGCCACCATGTTAAAAAGTGTGCTGAAAGTTGAAACCTATGTTTATCACAATCACAAACAGTCCTGGCAGACCCGAATATGCTCTGATAACCATAGTAATGCTGTTTTTATTATTTTTTCTGATAATTTTTGATCATATTATGACGTGTTTTTGAACAATCACTGTGTCGGTACAGCATGATGAGTTTAATATATATGATATTTGATTTATTACACATTGTATATTGTATACTCTACAAAGTAGGTCTGAATAATCAAATTGGGAGTGGCGGTGTCTCAGAGAGTTATATAAAAACTGTGTATTGTATAAAGTACAGGGACGACTGAGGGACGATTATTTTTCCTTGATGTTGTAAAAGAGGAGACGGAGAGACAGACGGTCAATCAGACAGACAGATTGAGGAGATGGGAAGCTTAACCTTATATCCATTTGTTGAAATGTTGTGTAAACTATTTAACAATAAAATATTCGATGCATAATGCTGCTTGTTCAGTGTTATACTGTATTTACACGCCATTGCTTTTCCGGTTGAAAGTACGTCAACAATGAAAAACATTAGTCGGTAATGCATCGCCACCATAAGAGCACAAAATAATTACGATAAGTACAATATTTTGTAGACTTTCTCACAGACATCATTTGAACCGTTCATATATACAGATCTGTGATTCGGCTTGTTTAACAGTTAGTTTCTATCAACATTTCACCCTATTGTTCCAAGGCAGCATCTACATGGGACGGTGTTTGGAAAGTTTTTGTGTCCGTAACAAACTCAGATGTCATTACAGTTCACTATTCCCACAAAAAGTGCTTAGATGCTTTACAAAAAAAATAAAATAAAATATCCGGACAAAAAGCCTGATTCATATTCAAATCTGACTGTTTTTTAGTTCAGTCTTTCCACTCTGAAAGTGCGGGACAGTTTGAAGCTTCACTGTCCTGCTTCCAGCAACATGGCGGTGATTTTAAGCCAGTGCGTTGGTTGTTGGGGCCAATTTATCCAGTCTCTCCTGGGCCCAAGGCTGGAGGTTCTGGAGGGCGTAGAGGGAGGAGTTATGCACACATAGAGGATCCGACGACACTGATTCGCTCATGGACTTCTGGAGGGCGTCGGCCTGAAGCTGAAGCAGCATCCGATTGGCTTGCTGACGTCCTGCCTCTCTTTCCTCAGCTGTTTGCCTTCTGGAGATTTTGAGGTAAGATTACAATTAGCAAAATGTAGAAATCCTAAACATTTGACCCTTTGATCAAATTGATGTAATAAAGAAATCGGTGGATTTTAAATTAAATTATGATGATAATAATAGACCCTTTTCACAGACTGTGATGTGTTTCCACAGTTATCATCAAGAACATAAATCTAGCTAATTTCATTTTAAAGTGTACGTTTATAATACTTTACTTTGTGTTTTATTACCTTGGCATTAAATTACATAAAACTAGTTAACGCTGTTGCGTGTTTCTTAATACAAAGGCAAATTTGACATCTTTCTCTCTTCTGACCAACGTAATCAATCTCATTATTTTCCCACAGTATTTAAATTAAATGTATTTAATGTAATTGATTTCATTATAATTAAGTAGCCTACTTATGTAAAATAATTTACTTCAAATTTAAACAGTTTAAAGAAGTGTAGTCTACCTTGGTTCTAAATGCCACATTTTCCAGTTACAAAAAATAAAAAGTGTCTGTACTGTTTTGAAATCTTCCAGTCATGTCTGTGATGTTTGGGTGAACAGATCTGGGTCAAACCGGTCTCACCTCCATTTGGTCCGTCGGTTCTGGAACCAGGTCTTGACCTGCGCGTCCGTCATCTTCAGGCTCTTGGCGAGGCCCGCGCGCTCCGCACTGGCCAGATACTTCTGCCGGTGGAAGCGTTTCTCCAGCTCGCAGATCTGCACGCGCGAGAACGACGTGCGGGGCTTTTTCCGTTTCGGGGGAGTTCGGTTCTGATACGGGTGACCGATCCGCCGGGTCACGGTGAACGGAATGAGAGCTGCGAAACACAAAGACATTTATGTCATTTATGATGCTCTGTTCCTTTATATTTTTATAAAAACAAATATATTTTTCGGATAGCCTAATTCTTGTATTATTGTACTAAATTAGCCTAATAGTTTATTGTTCGAGTTTGAAACGAATTTTTGACTTTGTAGGCTAATTTTAATATTTTTTTGTTTAAGATACGTTTAAAACCTAGTTAAAATTTAACGAAACATCGTGAAAGCTGTTTTGTGTGCATCTTTAATGTTTTCTTTCCCAAAACAGCTGTTTGTCCACATGCACGACAACATTGTCCTGATCAATGAGGTCATCGCGTGCAATGACAAAACATAAATCGAATTTGAGGTAATTGATAGAACATTTATTAGGCTAATTTTAATGTTAATGCAGATTTATATGGCTAATGCGAATCACTGAAACTATCACCAATGTTTGAAACAAAATACTTGTTTATAATTTATTAATAATTATTAAATATGATTAAATTAATATTTTTACCCAAGGGAACACGAACAGAAAAGGATGCGCTCATTTCTGAAGTGAGAAAAAAATTTCCTCTTTTTTTTTTTTACATTTAGCCTAGGCCTACTCAAAAAGCGTCATATGTCATTGCGCCTAAGTGTATTTATATATTTATTTTTTCAATTTGTAGCCTATACGATTTGGGTCCGGAAACAAGCACGTTTTCCTTCAAATGTCCTTTAAACCGTTGTGCTGAACTCTTAAATAATTCCACTTACATGTTGTGTGTACTATTTAACGTTAAAGAGTCCTGTTTACGATTTATTGACTTATTTGAAGAAATATACTCATTTTGTTACAGCCTACTTTTGGGCCTAATCATTGAATTAATATCTTAGATTAACATTAAACATATAACAGCAGCAAACCAAATATTTTCTGCTCTTAATTTGAATGTTTTTGTCTATTTTATAACCAAAATGTTTTATAGCATGTAGCCTAAATATACTCATTTAAATTGAAATGATTATCGATATCGTCACCATTACCATTTGATTTAACATATACCAGTTGATTATAATTAATATCATTACAAAAACGGTATGGTTATTATTGCAGTCAAGGTCGTATAAAGTTTTTCAGGGTGGTTTCATTGTGATAAGCTTGTTGTAAGTTCAACCATATTTTTTGGAGAAGAAAGCTTTTTTTTTTTATTAATAATTATATTTATTAATATTTAATATCTTTGCATCATGTGGACAAACTCCCGCATCCTCAGAGATGTTTGTCTTTTACCTGGCAGTCTGTCTTTAGGGAACCTGCGGTTATTGTCCATCCAGGAGAAACACAGCGCCGGTGCGGCGCTCACCATGGCCGGCGGCACCGCGGCAGCTAGAGGTCTGTGCGCCGGAACCCGAATCACTCCACTGGGCACCAGAGTGCCGCTCAACCCGTACACCCGCCCGGAGTCCTCCAACGCGCCCGTGACTCCGAACAGAGAGACGGGTAAGGAGACATGAGGCGCGACGCTCGCCCTGGATGGGCTTCCCAAGCGGCTGTTATCCACAGTGTTTCCGACCCTGCTCTCTGGGTCCAAAGAACCCAGAATCTGGTCGATCCCGAATCGTATGGGTTCCTGATTTGATTTAGATGGCGGTTTCGGCTCGTTCGGCTCCGCGCGCTCCATGACTCCTAGTTGCGCAGTAGATTATGATGGATTTAGACAAATGAAATCACGTTAAGAGCGGCAAAAAAAGCTTTAATTTAGTTTTAGTCTTGTCCATGGTTTCGGATGACGGTCCTCGTTTCTCTAATTCTTTGTTTGAACTCTGACAGGTCTCGCCACCGATGCGCCTCGCGTCAAACTGTCGACTTTCCGCTCCGCGGCTCTTGCCAAACTCATCAGCTCGAGTTTTCATTGGTCGACTGAACCGAACCGTCATTATCTCTGTCTGTTGGATGACATTTAGGAACAGGGGAGCAAAAAACTGCGGACTAGAGTCTCATCATGTAATTCAGTAATGTCATCAGACCAATTTCTGAAATGCGCATTTATTGGGGCTGAAACATGCTGCTGCTAATTTATTTACAGACGTCTCTCATTATGTTGAATTGCATTAGCACCGTTTTACGCACAAACTTTGAATTCACTTTGTAATGTTGTATGCAAAATTAATCAAGATTTGCATTTCCAGAAGGAAACAACAGTCAGAGTTTTCAATGCAGCAGAAGGATATTGTTAAATTTGAGTAGGTTTAGATTTTAGGGTTCTGCTTTGTCACTATAATACCATTCTTTCATATGCATATGCATAGGCTATTCTAACCATATTGCATATAATCAAAACAACAATTAGTATATTCTGTATTTGAAAACTATATATTGCAATCTCGTTTTCTCGTCCTGTCAGTTAAAAGTGAGTGTGTTTTCTACAGAAGGGATTCACTGAGATAAACGTGAAGGATCGATTGCGTTATCGATCGTTCGGCAGTAATCGGAGACTGTCGGTGTTCGTCATCTCTACAGTCCCGCTGCTCAAATTTACAGCATAGATTTGTGCCATGACGTTGATGAATGCTCGAACCCCACATGCCAAATGCTCTCCACTGCTCGTAATTTCATTCAGTAAAACTATCCTGCAACAGACCAATTAGATTTTATTACATAAATGTCACCCAAACAATATCCATCAAATATGAGAAGTTCTGTGCCGGACCGCGGCTCCGCGCTCTGTTGTTTGTGTGTGAGCGCGCAAAGCCTTTTAAATTGACGGCCAAATTCGTGTCCTCGCACCGGGAAATGGAGTGTTTGCCGAGGGGAGGCTGCTGGCAGGACACGCGCAATGAAAGAGCCGTGGAGATTGAGTCAGTAATGCAGTTTAGAAGCGTCTGAGCAGGTGAAATGGACATAAGCAGCCCCGGGCCCCCCGCACACATGCGCTGGATATTTTACCACCGAGAACCAATGACAAAGACTTACTTTGGTTTTTATTGGTGATTCTTTTCCTGGGTGAATGTTGTTTGCTTTGCAATTATTTGGCATGGATGTGCAGATTTGTATTTCAGCGAAAGCAATCCAATTCATTTGTCAAAACCGATCAGCATACCTTTAAACATCTTTTAAATGGACATATGTGGATGTTTCTATTGCGTTTCTAAAGGTGCTGTAAAAAAATATGTTGGATTTGACACCTGCTGAATTCAACCTTAATTGCGCTGAAAATCTTTTAATTTGGAGTTGCCGTTCTTTTTAAAAATTGCTTGTATATCTGTCATTATGCTATATTAAAACCAAATCTTGGATTCTTTTTAGTCAACTTTGTTTTCTTTCTTTTAGCACAGCTTTTGCATTCCTCTTTGGAACTGATTGATTATAGGCCAGTGAGTATATTGATCAGTGAGGCCGCCTCACTGATCAGAGCTTATATGAACAAATATGCCTATTGGTTTTTGAATGCCGGTCAGTGTAACAAGGTGATAAAAATCCCAAGAATGATCTAATTTAATTTAGTTGTTATACCCCGTGTGAGCAAAGTCAGTAGTTTTAATCCAAAGCGATAACATTAACTAGCATTTTCGGGTAAACAGAAAATCCTCACCGGGTCAAGATGCCCGAAACACAACACGAGATTAGACCTACTTCAGCATCTTAACATGCAAACAAATGGAAATGTTTAATAGTTCAAACAAATTAGCATCCAGTTCAGTCGTTTTGTTCAGCGAAAGCAATCCAATTCATTTGTCAAAACCGATCAGCATACCTTTAAACATCTTTTAAATGGACATATGTGGATGTTTCTATTGCGTTTCTAAAGGTGCTGTAAAAAAATATGTTGGATTTGACACCTGCTGAATTCAACCTTAATTGCGCTGAAAATCTTTTAATTTGGAGTTGCCGTTCTTTTTAAAAATTGCTTGTATATCTATCTGTCATTTATATTAAAACCAAATCTTGGATTCTTTTTAGTCAACTTTGTTTTCTTTCTTTTAGCACAGCTTTTGCATTCCTCTTTGGAACTGATTGATTATAGGCCAGTGAGTATATTGATCAGTGAGGCCGCCTCACTGATCAGAGCTTATATGCACCTCGGTTTTTAGTGAAAAAGCATGATTTGTAGTAAAAATTTATAATACAATTAGATAATTCTTGGGATTTTTATCACCTTGTTACACTTGTGGTGTTCCCATTCAAAAACCAATATTTGCTTATATATATATATAT